TCATAGCACTTTTCATGTCTCTCGGCTACGGAAGTGCTTCGTTGATGATTATGAAGTGGTTCCATTGGAGGACATTAGGTGGATGATCGCCTGAACTATATAGAGAGACTAGTGGCGAACCTTGACAGGAGGAGGAAGACTCTGTGAAACAAGGTGGTGGATCCGTTGAATGTGCAGTGGCAGCACCGAAAGGGTTCTGAATGGATGTGAGAGTCTGAGGACGAGATGAGGGAGCATTCCCTGGAGTTATTTATGGCAGCAGATTTCGAGGACGAAGTCTAATTCAAGTGGGGAAGAATTGTAACACCCGATTCAAGGTACTTTTCATTTTTGACCCTTGGTGTGTATTTAGTTTGCAAATTTGGTCCCAATGGAGCATTGTTGCCATTTTCGAAAAAGTAGGGGTATGCTGGGCGTATTCCTCGTATGCTGGGCATATGCACCCACGGGACAAACCCTAACTTTTAGGGTTTAGACCCTATTTAAGAAACATTATGACCCATGATTCCCTCATTTCTCAGCCTCCATTACCTTTTGAGCCTCATTTCGAAACCCTATCTTATCTAGAGAAGATTTTACCCTCTTTGTATGTGTTTAGTGTGTGTTGGTGAGCTTTGAGGAAGAAGAGCTTTGAAAAAGGAGCTTTGATCAAGAAAAATCTTGCAGATCCATATTCTACTCATCATTTCCAGCTTCATTGAGGTATAAAGCTTGGAACTTGTTGATTGTATGCTTAGATCTAGTATTTATGGAGTTTTGGTGACTTTTAGTCCCATGAATGAGAATTAGTGAAAATTCTTCCACTCCAAAAGTTGGGAGTTACTTCTCTTGATGTTTTTGAGGTCCTTAGCTCATAAAGTTAACATATTGATGGTTGTTGATCAGCCATGCATGTGTTTATATCCATTTGGTGAAAGTAGAATGCTAAATCTAGGGTCTGAGTTCATTTGAGCGATGCAAAGGTTCCAAGTTAATGACTTTATGGACTAAGACGTTCCCCAAGGCTTAGATCTGAAGTTTGGATGTCTGGTTGTAATCATTAAGTGCTAGAGGAAAAAGTGGTTATTGAGCGCGTACGCAAGCGTACGTTGCACGTACACGTTCGAGTCCCCGATCAGGCACACGCCCTAGTACGCCAGGCGTACGTCTAGTACACGCAACATACCAGGCTGCGTATTGGGCTTTGCGGTTTGGGCCATATTTGAATTATTAGGCTTTTGGGCCTTGTTGAACCACTATCCTTTCTGACTGTGGGCCATTGTTAGACTTTGGGCCTTTTGGATTTGGGCTCATATTTGGCTTTCGGTAACCTTTAGGAAATTGGGCCACTATTGGGCTTTTAGTTTGGGCCTCGAATATTGGGCCAAGTGAGGAAAGATTAAAATGGTTTTTTAACCTTGGTGTTGGACCAATGAACTAGATTCTCGGTTATGGAATATGAACTAATTATTAATTGGGGTTTTATTTGGTTGGTTAGTATGGGGATTCTCCGGTTCAATAACCCGAGCATCTATTGACTGACAACAGACTAAGGTGAGTTTCCTCACTATACTGTAGGACACTAGGATATGTTATGTGCTTGTAGTCTTTGTGACTCCTATTGTATGTGTTGTATGCATGTGTGCATGTTTTCTATATGTATGTGGGGTGAAATGGACCCAAGGGTGAAATAGACCCGATACAGCCTTGTGATGACATATGAGTTGAAATAGACTCGGGGGTAAAATAGACCCGGAACAACCTTTAGCTGGCATTTGAGTTGAAATAGACTCGGGGGTGAAATAGACCCGGAACAGCCTTGAGGTGGCATATATGTATGGTATGAAGTATTTTGGGGAGCTAACTAAGCTTCGTGCTTACGGTTTTCAGTTTATGTTTCAGGTACTTCCGGATCGAAGGGGAAGAGCTCGGGATGATCGCATCGCACACACCATGATTTTGACTCTGATGTGTTTCAGATGAGTATGAATACACTATGAATTCCCTTTGTTTTGATCAACACGTTTGGTTGATGCTTTAAATTAATATGAAAAAAAAACTTTTTGGTTTTAAATTTTGGGAGGTTATAATAAAACCCAGGGACAAATAATTCCGAATGTAAGTATTTATCTTCTAGACCAGTATTCTCGCATGGTCAACCTTATGTTGCATTATCCAGAGGGGTGTCACGTGACAATACAAAAGTGTTAGTGAAGCCTAACGGAAATTTCAAAGGTGATGGCGTCTATACAACGAATGTGTTATTTAAAGAAATGTTGCGGGATTAATAATGTATTAGCAGTTATGTGTTTTTACACATTTCCATATTTTGTGTATTCTTATATAATCCTATTATTTTTGTTTGAAAGACTTATACAATTTATATTTTGTGCCGGCTTGAACCGTTTATTTATATCAATTATTTCATGTATCATGTCAAAAATAATGCCAAAGTTGGATTCCATTGTCTTGGACATGTATTTTCTTTTGGAACATAACATTTTTGTAAATGAAACATATCACTGAAAAAAACTATTTGTTGCCGCCGCTTTGCGCGGGTAACAACTAGTGTATATATATATATATATATATATATATATATATATATATATATATATATCATTGTTTTAAAAAACAGTTTGAATCGGACGGTCGAACCAGTTAGACTGTGAATCGGGGAAGAGAGTTGTTCAATTATCACGGGTTTTATGCTTATTTATGAACCAGAACGAATCGGCCGGTTTTTACAAAAACACGGTTAAACTGGTTAAATTAAATTGGTTGAACCAGTTAAATTGAATAAAAACCTTTTTGCATAATAAACTTTGATGGTCTTTTTCTCGTCTATTTAAATATCTCTAAATAAAAACATATGATAATTGTTATAAGTTTTTTATGCGTTTGTATTCATCTAAAACTGTATTTGTTTCGGTATTATACTTTATTTTCTTTTTGATGTATGTGGATTGATGTAAAACTCATGCTTATGTGTTATTTTAATATATGTGAATTGATCTACCACTTGTTTTATGTGTATTTTTAATGTTTGAACTTGTGGATTTCAAAATTTTTATTTATTTATGTATTTATATGTAGTAAAATAGAAAAAAAATGAAAATTATAGAAATTGGTTGACCTGGCTGTCGAACCGGTTGAACCAGGAGCCGATCATCATATCGGTTCAACTAAAAAACCGGTTTTTAATATATATATATATATATAGGAGGGTTCAATTGAGAAAAAAAGTTGAGAATGAGAGAATCATTCTAAGCCACATATTTATTTTGTTGCAAAACCCTCGGGCGTACCGGCGGAAATGGGTAATGGATAAACATATGTTTTCCAATCAAACATGTTTCATTAAACTATGCTAATTATTACATTAATATACATAAAAACATACTTTTTTTTATAAAAGCTATTTTTATCGAAAAATTCTTTTAAATATATCAAAATTCATAATTTTTATTTTCTATAAATAGACATCAATATTGATATAGTTTTAAAATAAAATAATTTTTTTAGAGTTTCAGCTCTCGTTATTCATAAATAAATAAAAAATGCATCAGATTTTTATTACATTAATTCATTATTCGGTTATGAATAAAACGTATGCTGAACTTTTTTACATTTTAAATATCGTTCATATATGAATATAACACGTAATAAAGTTTTCTTACCTAAAATGTATTTTTTTACATCATCTTTCGTCACATGTTATATTTATATATGAATAAAACATGTATAAATTGTCGTCATATGTTATATTGATATATGAATAAAATATTTATAGTTAATTTGTTATTTATATATAAATAAGTAGTATATTAATAAAAGACGAAGTGTTTTGAAAAATTGAACTAGTTATATATGAATAACAAATGATCCATAACAAAATTATGATAAATGTGTTCGTTGTATATGAATATAACTTGTGAGAAAAACTAATATACGTTTTATTCATATATGAATATAACATGCGACGAGTGTTGATGTAAATTGTAAAAAAGTTTATTATATGTTATATTCATATATGAATGATACTTAAACTGTAAAAAAATAATTATATTTTTTATTCATAAGTGAATAACGAATTTACTGTAGTAAAAATCTGATGTATTTTTATTCACTTATGAATAACGATACCTGAAACTATAAAAAAAATAAAATTTTTATTTTATATTAAAACTATATTAATATGGATGTCTATTTATAGAGAATAAAAAATTATGAATTTTGATATATTTAAAAATCATTTTTCGATAAAACTAGCTTGTTAAAAATTAAAAAAAAATCATCTATATTAAGGTAATAATTAACATAGTTTAAGGAAAAATATTTTTGTTGGAAAACATATATGTATTCATTTTTAATTTCCGTCGGTATGATGGAGGCTTTTGTGGCAAAAATAAATAAGTGGCTGAGAATGATTCTTTATTCTCAACCTTTTTTATTTTCTCAATTGAACTTACCTCTCTCTCTCTCTCTCTCTCTCTCTTTCTCTCTCTCTCTCTCTCTATATATATATATATATATATATATATATATATATATATATATATATATATATATATACTCGAATGTCATTTTTATGAGCTAGCTTATAAGATAGAATCTAACTTTTCAGTTATCAGTTAGCTTTTCAGCTAGTAGTCAAAGATAGTTTTTGACATTTTTTCAAACCTTACGTTTCCTTATATAACCGTTCAAAACTTCAAATGTAGGAAGATTAGTAGGAAGAAAAGGTAGTAGGATATTTGATTTCTCTTTTTCAGTTGGTGTTAGACATTTTTTTAATTTTAGATGTTGAGCAATATACGCTAACTGTTATATAGTTGTCTTAATGAACAGTTTATGTTATTAAAAGCTTAATACATTAAAACAAATTAAGATACGATAAAAACAATAAAGAACAATTGGTAAATTACATAAAACTCATGATACGAATATAAAACATAGAGCATATGAGATGATACAACGAGTTGTAACATTCGACAAGATAAATAGTTGCAACATAGGACAACATACGACAAGATAACAAGTTGCAACATACGTATAGCACACGACAATATAAAAGCATAGCAAATAATAACCATGACATATGATTCTTATGCCAAATGAAACAAATAATTTAAACATATTCATTAAGATATTCATCGATTGTGGTGATATTAACATCTGGGTAGAGTTCACTAGCCTCCACACCAAATGAAGGTTCAGTTATGAAGCTGGTTGCACTTCCTTTCACAAAAGTCGAATACGATATAGACGACATGATGATCTTGCCGGGAGAGTCTGCAAAATAAGAATATTTATTTTTTTACAAAAAAACATATAAATGTTTAACCAGTCTAAATGTATTAAATAGTATGTCATTAGATATGTCTTTCATATTAAATTAATATAATACTAGTCTTACTATTATATTAGGAATATTTGGTCTCTTGTCTAATTATACCATGGACTGATCGTATTTTAGTGACAAGTCCGTGCCATAATTATATAAGAGTTTAAAAATTCTTAATCTAATGACATTAGTAATATACTAATTATTTAGTATGAAAGGCTTATCTAATAATATATTATCTAAGAAAAATGCATCTTTTGTTTGGACTGACCTTCAATATCTTTGAGAGCTTGCTCGTCGGTAACATATGTCCTATCAAAGGTCTTGCCAATTTTGCTTTCCCACATGGAAACAACTTCATTAAATGACATTGTATTGCCTGGAGGTCTAAATATGAGTGCCTTGATCAAGGTACGTCGTCGACTGTTTTGATAGTAATCAATGTTATATCCTCTTCTTTAACGAAAACAGCTAGATATATTGGAAAAATATTAGAGTTTTTCCCACATGCATCGTCTTGTTGTACATTATGCATTAGAAGTTGTACCTTTTATAGTTCCGTTCCCCAAGGATGGTAATTGCTTTTTCGGTCTTCATTAGGCCGATTTTGGGTAGAAAATATTTTGCAAAACCATTGCATACTACAAGAGTATGTGGGATATTTTCAGTTTTGACTGTCTTACGAGTTTCAGCTTTACCCTTAAAGATGCTCTTGGCTGGGTCGACTGCTCCATCCAAAATACCATGGACCACATCGATTCCGAATTCCGAAGGTAAAAATCTCTAATAAATATAGTTCAGTATTTCTAAGTTAGTTTTATAGCTTGTAGGAAACTAGGGGTGGCAAATCGGGTCATCGTGTCGTGTTTTTGTCTGACACGACACGACACGACAATGTTTTATGTAACACGAACACGACACGACACGATGTCGTGTTTCTTTTAACCAACACGCAAACCGATTAAAAAAACGACAAACACGACATGACACGACAAAGATAACATAATAAAAAAATTAGTTTATTTAATTAGTATTTAATCATACATAACACGACAAACACGACAAATAAATATTAAATCGTGTCAATTTCGTGTAGAATTTTAAACATGAACACGACACGACACGACATCGTGTTTTTTACACTTATCACGAACACGACACAAACACGAATTCGAATTTCAGTTTCGTCTCAATTTCGTTTCGTGTCGTGTATTTTTGTCGTGTTGTGTCAACAATCGACACCCCTATAGGAAACACATTGAAAATTGAGTTATAATAAGAGGCACACAAAAGGAATTAATTTTTCTAATATTTTTGTCATTAATAAAAGATAATTTCACAAAAATTTGGATCTTATAGAATCCATTCTAGACCCCTTTCTAGCCCATATTCATATTTTGGATCGGACCTCGTTTCTTTACACTAACTTTACTGGACCGATCTCTATCGAGTTCGATTAGGAACGATTTTTGTGCACGTTTTGGTAAGAGGTCGAAACATCATATGATATGATGTACGTAAATTATGGCCTACGGGTTAAATCGAAATTTTTTTTTTCTCCAAATTATTTGTAAATAATCAGTATATCAAATTGATTATAAAAGTTATATTATTACCACAATAGTGTAATTCAATTGAAAAGTGTACCTTGATATTTCCAGCTACTTTAATGGCTTTAATTAGTTCGCCTTGCGCAGCTGCGGACTTCCCACTTACTGTCGAGATCACAACATCAACTTTCTTCACTGCCTCCAACAACTTGTCATAATCCTCAAGATCTCCCTGAGAGAGTCCATATAAATACATAAATATATATGTAACATATACACACTCAATAAAAACCATTATCATAATTAAACTATGTAACATTATTATGATACGTACATAAACTAGTTTAACACCACCACTTTCGAAATCGTCTAGAAGCTTGGTTTTTTCGTCACCTTTAGTTGTGCTTGGTCTTGTCCAAATAAAAGTTGGATGCCCTTCCTTGAGGCTTGCCTCTACTAAATACTTTCCGATGTATCCGGTCCCTCCGATGATCAAGATCTTGCTTGCCATTGATATAACGGTTTTGAGGAGAAAGGAGAGTTTGGGGGGATGATGTGAGAAAATATTGGGGTATTGATGTGAATATATATAGATTTTTAAAATTCAAGACGTTGCAGGAGGATATAGAATGAAAAGCAACGTTTACTCCTCTAGTATCATGCAAATAAATAAATGAATAAATAAATTATATAAATGGTCCATGTGGTTATGTTAAATTTATGGATTTAGTCCAGCTTTTTCAATTTTGACTCGGATAGTCCCTAAAATATTTTATTGTCAAGTTTTTCGTAATGCTGTTAGATTTAACTAAATTCATATGATACTTTTATTTTCAGGTATTATTTATAATTTTTTTATATACCAGTATACCCACACCTTAAATCTTCATCTCCTTCTACCATATTTCTACCATTCCGTGATGACTACCAACGGTGCATTTAATTACACTGATCATCCTGCTTCACTTCTTCCTCCTTTTTTATTGGGCAAATGCCATATTAGCCCATCGAACTTTTCGCGTTTTTTTTTAAAATGTCACTAAACTATTTCTTTTTGCACATTAAAGGAATATACTTTCATTTGACCGTTTAATTACATCATTTTACCGATTGTAAAAGGTTTATCCAATATTTTCGTGACATGTGGCACCACCGTGGAATATTACTGTTGTAATCTTGGTACCCAAGAATTGCCAAGTCATCGTTAATGGTCCCCCTTATAAAACCGTCTTCCCCTAAATCCGTATTCCCCACCACTTTGTTACCCTAATCCGTAACCTTCACATAATACCACCGACTTCGTTTTTTTCCCACCTATAAGTCAAGGAGATGGCCTCAGAACAAAGCTTCTCTTATGGTGGTTTCAGAGTTTCGGAACTAGACTTACCAACTGATTCCGAACTTCATGCCATGGAAATCCAAGTGCAGATGGAGGAATTGAGAGATGAGGTGCGACAACAGCTTGGCGATTTTAGGGAGGAGATACGCTACTTGAAAATGATAGTGAGCATGATGGGTGTTGTTGGAGTTGCAGTGATGTCGTTGATCGGGGTTCGTATTTGCGTCGACTGCAGTGGATGGGGATTTTGGTGGGTGTAGTTTAGTTCGTAGCTATCACGATGTCGATTAGTCTCTTTTGGGTTATCATGGTTGTCGAAGGTTGTTTCTTTTTGTCTAATTTCGTCATCTGCTAGTATTATATGTATGTATTAGATTATGTGTTGTTGGTTATTTTGACTAGTGGTGCCCATTGACGATGTATTGGTTTTTAGAACCAAATTTTTGGGGGTTTTTGGTAAGACAATAACCTCAGTTGTAATGGATGAATGAAATGAAATGTAGTTCCTATTATAACCATTGTTTTGCTTTGCATATGATGTTATGCTTTGTAATGAAATGTGCCCATGTGCTACCACATTGTTATGTGGAAGTACATTGTTATATGATTGTTATTTGTTATGTCGAATTACCTTGGAAGTACAATTATAAACAAACATTCATGTTATGTTTTAAACTAAAGAAACTAACATTCATGTTTCAAACGAATAACAAACATCATACATCCATGTATTCATTAATGTCATAACTTGGTGTTTTAAAGACATGTTAACAAACTAAACAAGACCATAACATCAAGACACTTTTAATAAAGACCTTACATTGTAACTAACATACTCCAAAAACAAAACAGCTTTAATCCAAGTCCATTGGTTTGCTTGATGTATCACATTCACCGTTTTTGCCTGTAACCTTTTTTGCCAACTTTTTCTTTAGTATCCTCTCTGACTTTTTCCTTAATTTCAATGTACCTACTTCTTTACCATTCTTCTTAGTCACACCACTAGTTGACCCACATTCACCTTCTCCCGTTTTGAAACCAATTCCACTTTCAGTATCACCTTCACCCTTTCCTTTTTCCCCCTTTGCCCTTTGCCCTTGACCCTTCCCTTTCTTTAATGCACTAGTTTCACCTTCACCTTCTGCCTTCCTTTTTTTGACCTGACTTTTTTGGGCCTTTGACACTGCATCACAGGTTGACTTATTGTGGCCTGATTTCTTACAAACACCACAGACCATCTTTTTCCCTGCCTTGGATACTCTGTGTAATCCACTAACCTCAGTACTGTCCCTTTTTCTCTTAGTAATGGATCTCCCTGGCATCTTCCTTTTCAAAGGTGGCAAAGGTGGTATGTAGTCTGTTGGGGGCCACATTGCACTCCCATTCATGCTTCCTATTGAGCCCCAGGGAATTTCTTCTTGAAATTGGAAAGAACATGTATGGCACATTGCCTATGTTCTATCTCTGGAAATAAATCTTTAACTACTTCAATTATCCCCTGCATTTACATCATCATAATATTCAGAAGTATATCACATTTGAAAGAAATTAGGTATGGCATTATAAAGTAGAAACATACCTTATGTTGATTTGACATCAATGTATTACCAAACCCACCTTCAAGATGCAGATCTTCTTGCAAGTTTTCTAAGAACCATTTCCAGTTGTCTTTATTTTCAACACAAACTACAGCCCAAGCTATTGGGTATATATGATTGTTACCATCCCTACCAACAACACATAATAACTGACCAATACACATTCCTTTTAGAAAACACCCATCTAAGTTTATTATCCTTCTACAACCACTTCTCCAACCCTCCTTTTAGTGCATGAAAACATATATATATATATATATATATATATATATATATATATATATATATATATATTATATATATATATATATATATATATATATATATCCTGCTAAAGTAAGTTTTCCCATCTGGCATAGAGTTCACAAACAACTTGACTGTTGACCCTGGATTAGACCTTTTTATCTCTTCACCATATCCACTATGGTACCTTCGACAAGAGACATTGCATGTTGCTTAGCTTTCCTACATTGTCCCATACTAACCTCTATGCCAAATTTAGTCTTTACTTCCTCCTTTAACATCCTAACATTAAATTTCTGATTCTCAAGAACTTCCCTGGTGAAATGACTACCAATCCATCTGTAATTGACAATTAACCCTAACTTAAATTTTCTTGCACAATTATGGTCAATGATAAGGGACTTGATTTGGAATGACTGCTCCTTACTCATCCATGATGCCCACAGCCTAAATGTGCATTGACCAGTACTACACTTAACCAATAACCTTTTACTGTCGTTTTTTTTCAAAGTACAATTGATACCCATTTGCTATGACATAATTACAAATCATAAATTTTAATTGTTGAGGGTTGGTGAACCTTATATCTAGAATTGGCAACTGCTTCTTCCAAGGTATGTCTTCATTAAACATCGGTTTTCCTTTCACATCTGGGACATTATCATCTTCATCATCTTTTGGATCACCTTCTGTGACCTCCTCATTTCCATTTTCCTGACTTACTCCTTCATAGGTTACTCCTTCCATGTTGCTTTCTTGTGGACTCATGAACTCAATTAGGTCAATACCTTCTTCCCCTTCGATTGACATGTTTGACTTCACAGAACAATTATCCTCATTTTAATTTTCATTTGCCTTACTTACGTGCACAGTAGTACCAAAATGGTCCATGTAAACATGAACTTGTACTCCACATTGATAAGCAATGTCTATAAATTCTTGATATTGAAGTTCATTCGAAGTCAAGGTTAAACCTTCTGGAATTTGTAAATCGGGTTGACAATAATAAAGTTTCTCACACTTCTCCTGTGTGAATCGTTCAAGAAAACCCACAAACTCATTATATGACATACCAACAAAATCAACGTTGTCGAACACATGATGAACACCATCAGAATAGCAAAAAGGTTTGTTGATGAACACACCTTGGAAATGAACTTTGATTGAGAGGAATATAGCCATCGATCTTCAGTTACTATGGTGGGACGAGGGTTTTCTCAATGAGGAGGGGTTTCTTCAATGAGGGGGAGGGGATTGTATAAAGCAAACGATTTATTTTATAACAAATTAATGTAAGTGTACCACACGTGTCCATTTCATTAAATGACGTGTCACCGATATTTTCCCTCGTGGCATGTACATTACCTTTCAACCCGGTAAAAGGTTACATAAGGGTATTTTAAAACGGTCAAATGAAAGTATATTCCTTTAATGTGCAAAAAAAAAAGTTTAGTGACCTTTTAAAAAAAACGCGAAAAGTTCGATGGGCTAATATGACATTTGCCCTATTTTTTCTCTCGTGTCCTTCATTTAAAACCTCATACTACTTCCAAAACGTCACACGGTGATCACTTTCAAACCCATTAGATAAAGTCCCTACAACCTACAAACTATGGTTTGTTGGAAATCAGATATGTATGTATCAAAAGCACACCCAAATACAGTAGCAAAAATAAAAATAGACACTCTTAGTTTTGGGAACTTTTCTCTGTTGTATTACTTCAATAACACGAAAATCCCATATGGGATATGAAAGCTTCTACAATAAATAGAATAGAAAAGAACAAATAATTTCCTAAACTAGTGGATAGACTTTCGGTAACAAGCTAACCCACGTTTAACTAATTATTCTCGACTAATACCTAGTCAACATAAACCAAATCAAAAATACTGGTAATAACCATGCATCGTCATTACTCTTTGACCGACCTGTAACCCGTGAACGAAACCCAAAGGGATTCTAGCCCAGCGGTATCCGGTGTTGCCCTCCCTCCTTGAGGTTGAGGGTTCAAGTCCCGTTGTAGACATACGTGAATTTAAGGTGTAGTTTAGGAGTAGGTTAGATTTGCCGTTTCAAAAAAAAATTAACCAAAAATCATCCCTTAATTTGTTTCGTCATACCACTTGTTCACAAAAGCCTTTAAACACCTTAGTTTCATCTCGATTCTCGACCTTTCCTGGACACCAGACCTCCACCTCGGTGACATCGAAATTCCTCCATACCTAGCTATTGTTTGTCACCACACAAAACCCATTTGCGAATAACACTTCTATAAAACTAGAGCCTTCTTCCATCGATCAAGAAAACAAAGCCACCTGCATTTACCGTCTTCTTTCACCTGAAAAACAAAACAAACCCAAAGCCACCTGCTTTGACGACTCTTTTCTGTTCGTTTTCTCTCTGCATCTCTGCAGGTTAATCTCTCAATTTTCCGGTGACCTACCTACAACCTACTGCTCGACTTTCCTTTAAATATCATACTTCCCTTTGATCACAACTAACAACTATGGATGACCTGTGTTTATCGCGGTCACCCCGTCATCTCGAACGGTGCTCCAGGTCTCCCTATGGCAACAGTCGACTCGAAACATTTTACCATATCCGTCTTCTACTGTAAAATAGTCTTGAAACAGCCCCTTCTATCCCTCGAACCTTCTTGTATGATCAGACCTCAAATTTATGCAACCCCACACCCGAAGGTTCCTCTCCTTCGAAAATCGACTCTAAAACTGGCCCTCTTCAACCTTTGCTATTATACTAAGTGTTAGAAATCAGATACATATGTATCAAAGTACACCCAAATACAATAGCAAAAATGAAGATAGACACTCTTATTTTGGGAAATTTTATCTGGTGTATTACTTTAATATAAAGAAAATCCCATCTGGGATATGAAAGCTTCAACATTAGATAGAATAGAAAAGAACAACTAACTTCCTAAACTAGTGGGTAGACTTCCAGTAACAAGCTAACCCACACGTTTACCTAATTATTCTCCACTAACACCTAGTCAACGTACACCAATTCAAAACTATCGTTAACCATGCAACGTTATTACTCATTGACCGACCCGTAACCCGTGAACGAAACCCGATTAACCGAGGATGTTTCCCATATCCATATATGCATGTTAACCGAGAATTAATACTTTGATATCATTTGTCAATTTCTCATTAGAATTGGTTCCTCACATCAAAATTTGTTTCCCAATGGCCAAATTTAGCGCCTACCATTTAGGCAAGACTAATTTTAAACTTCATACATTGTTTATAAGTCCATTATGCGTTCTTCTTCTCTTGCATGCATGTTTACACTGTCACACCCCGAAACCGATGGCGGAAACGTTCCGGGGTGGAGGACGTCATGTGTAGTATCACAACAGTTGTATCATAGTAAGCGAAGTAAACACAACCATTACATTATAATAAGAATATTTACATTGTTGAAAACATGGTTTATACATAACAGCATTTAACAAAAGTAAAAGACATGACTTCAGAATGTTCCGCCTTCTCCAAAAGTTGGCAGGAGTACCTGTCTATTGATGCCCTAAGAATACAAGCAGTTTTAAAATATCAGCATAAAGCTGGTGAGTTCATAAGCGTTTTAGTTCAGGTGAAAGAAATGCTTCTTTGATCCTTTGAAAAGTGTTTCCCAAGAAAATCTTATATTTTCTTATGAAAGAAGTTTGATTATCCATTAGTTAAACAGCCTGTTTATGAAAAGTTGAGTTATCCCAGGAAAATCCTATATTTTCCTTAAAAGTTGATAGTTGGTTATCGATTATGGAATGAGGTGTACAAGTATCTACCATACTTGTATCGTTAGATGTAGTTTCCTTGAAAAACCCTGTTTACTCTCAGTGAGATGTATTAGCCTTATTACATAAATAAAACTAATAAATAAGTAGTGAACTAGATCCTAAGGGCATTACTAATGCCCTCTAGTAATCAAATCGGTTATTACTTTGAGGTTAGTTCACTTTTTTCATTATTATAAAAGTAAATCTCTGTTATCTAGGTTGCGAGTTTTATAACCATACATTAAACTAGATATGGCACGTAACGGGGCCAGTATCCTTTTTATGACTTTGTCACCCCAGGCATGGCTGCCTAACTGTAGCTAGCAGTTTAGGTGCGGGATAGTCAGTCCCGTATAGATCTATACACAATAGTCACGCTCTCCCTACAAGAGATTCTGGTTATAAGGGCTAGTCCTACACTCACGAATCCGGTGGAGTGTTACCAAGGACGTGTCTCCAATCCTAAAATAACAAACTTACAAGTAATAGTACCGAAAATCCTGTTTATGTTTTGTATAAATCCTTTATAAAATATCACATTTTATGATAAGATTTACAAGTTCCTTGCTTTAGTTTTGAAAACTGTTTCTACGAGTTGATTTCTTAATCGATTGGTAAAACGGTTTTCTGAGTTAAAAGCATGCTGAACATATAATCATTCTATGCAAAATCAGATAATTTGAGCACAAGTTTCCTTGTACTTTTGCTTGTATTCCCCCCCTGAAAACATGAAAAACTCGGAAAAAACGTAGGGGTATGAACTCACCTGAAGTGAGTGATGCGAATGTAAGATCGGAAAAAGGATGCTAAGTGTGAAGTGAAGTCTTGAGCACACGTACGGATCCTATTTAGCATATAATGACATATATATGTATACAATTAGTGTTTAATCAACTAATCAGGTAAAAAATAACACTTTAAGGACTAAGAAATCCTTAATGGAAGTGTTACAATCACTTAGGATTGCATAAGGGGGTTGTAAAGCCACTTAAGGGAAGTTTTCGGTCCAAGTGGTTTTCGGTCCATGAAGGGTTTTCGGTCCATGAAGGGTTTTCGGTCCATGAAGGTGACCGGAAACTCATGATATTCGGTGCATGTGGTGATTTTCAAGGGCTTTCAAACATGCATAGGGTTCTAAGCTTTATCCAAAGCCTTAAGTGAGTTTTAAGGTCTTAAAGGCACCTTTCTTTAGGGTTTTCGGTCAAAGGAGATGCACTATACCGAAAACTCCTTTTGTTCTTGGAAAATGACGATTTCAAGGCCTTAAACAAGAGTTTCAACTAGATAATAAGTGCAGAAAGTAGTACTTATGATTTAGAGGCTAAAAGAGTTGATTTTTGGACCAAAACACTAGTGTGTGTTCTTGGTGTTCTTGAAGATTAAACCCAAAAGATGAAGTTAATGGGTGAAATCGAAGGGGGATGCTAGTTAGGAAGATCTATCAACGATTCAAGGTGAAAGAAACACTTACATTTTTCGAGAACTTGAAGATCAAAGTGAAGAACTCGATGATACTTGAGAGAGAATGGATGTTTTCTGGCTTTGAAAAGGAAAGAATGATCCAAATGATCATGAAATATATATGTAGGATGGGGTTTTCGGTCACCTTGACCGAAAACTCTAAGGTCTTGACAGAAAACTCCTTTTTGAGGAGGTTTTCGGTTTGCTTCATGTCTAGAACTTCAACAAATTCATCCTAACCCCGATTCTTTTGATGCATTAAGTTTAGAATATTCCGTTAGTCCAAAAATAATACTGACGTGAACAGAAATAAATCCGAATTGATTTATTTAAACGCAAAGTCTTTCCCAAACTATCAAATTTGACGGAATTAAATAAAAACCCGAATTTGATTAACGGAAATTGAGTAAGGATAACGGAAAAAGTTTCGGGTTGTCACATCATCCCCCGTTAGAGGGAATTTCGTCCCGAAATTTGAACATAGAATACGAATCATGGATTTGAAAAGAGATGCGAATACTTCTGTTTCATCTGATCTTCGCATTCCCAAGTGAATTCAGGTCCCCGCTTGGCATTCCAGCGAACCTTCACTATCGGGATGCGACTTTGTTTCGTTTGTTTGATCTCTCTATCCATGATTTCGGCTGGTTCTTCCACGAAGTTCAGGTTCTCGTTAATTTCAATTTCGTCGAGAGGAATCGTAAAGGTTTCGTCGGATACGCATTTCTTAAGATTTGAAACGTGGAATAAGGGATGAATGTTGCTAAGTTCTTGCGGTAAACGATGTTTGTAGGCTACGGGACCGATCCTAGCGAGGATCTCGAAGGGTCCTATGTATCTTGGATTTAGCTTTCCACGCTTTCTGAAGCGTATCATGCCCTTCCAGGGTGAGACTTTTAGCAGGACACGGTCTCCAAT